ATGTTACATTATTGACGAAAGAGAATTAAACGTCCATCGAAAGCTAATTGTTTGTTAAAGAAGCCTATATCTACCATTCGTAATTTCTACGTTTCGCCCCTTCAAAACACGAAAGTAGAAAAGTCGAAAAGTAGGAGTTACGGCAAAATGTAAGGCGACAACGCGATATACAAGCCAATATCGACTCGAAAATAAGAAATTAAGAAATAACACACAGCGATAATAGCGCCCCTCGTTTTTTCCTAATTTCTTATTTTCGACTTCCATTTGGGCTTGTCGACTTTTGACTTTGTCATATTTTTGTATTTATTGATGTCAGTAAGAAGGCGCCAACATGCATACCATAATGCAACTCGAAAAGTAGAAATTAGGAAATAAACACACGCACTATTAGCGACCTATCATTTTGGCTTGCTGTCGTACTGGCGGCTTTTCGAGTTTCGCCTCGGAAGTGGTTGTAGTTTCAATTTTCCAGGTCTCATTTGAATACATGCAATCAGGGCTCCCATTGGCTTTCATTTTTTTTCTCGCAAAAATGGATAATAATTTTTATTTAAAAAAATTATACATATTTTATCTCCACCGACTGCAATATTTTACCTGCAAAAAATGTACGATAACCCCCCCCCCCCCACAAACTTACAACAATTTAATTTCTTATGCAGGCCTATTATAAAACAAGTTTCCCGTACCGGTATATATATACAACATACATGGGGGGGGGGGGGGTCTAGTGGTTTAACGCGTGCGCGTGAAATCACTAGATCTGTCATTGATTCAAGAGGCGTGGTTTCGATCTCCCTCTCTCTCTCTCTCTCTCTCATCGCCATTTTTTAAAATAAAATTACACCATGTTAGTCTCTGAATATTCAGTGTAATGAAATGAAATGGGGTTTAACGTCCTACTGTTCTGCTCCAAACTGGGTTAATGAAAACGGGCATACGCCATACAGTGTGCTATGAGGGAAATTTTGCCCGGACAGCGGCACTACGGCCTACTCTTATATCGAATTCCAACTGTCAAGAGACCGTTTACGTGCACACGCCAATGTGTACACGGTGCCTCGGTTTTTCTTCCAATCCGAACGACTAGACGGCTGTCTTTGTCAGGCCTTCCGTCCTGCATCACTGACAAGAGAGAACCACGCCGGAAAATTTGGATGAATTTTCTCGGTCAATGCAGGGATCGAACACGCGACCTCCAGACTAGAGAGCCAGCGTCTTGTGACCCCCCCCCCCCGTCTCTGAATAACTCTCTCTCTCTCTCTCTCTCTCTCTCCTCTCTCTCTCTCTCTCCCTCTCTCTCTCTCTCTCTCTCTCCCTCTCGCTCTGAATCCTGATAGAAACTTCTATTTCATTTGTAAGACATGCTTACAACCACATTCGCTGCTCTCTTTAGAAAATTTTGGCGGCGGTGCTGTCGCTATTCGACTCGTTCTTACGTTTCCTACCCATGGTGATAATACAATTTGAACTAAAATTAATAATAATATCCAATCGGGAAAATCTGTACAGTAAATGAAATTCAATCATCAATGCACGTATTCAAATGTGACCTTGAAAGTAGAGACATCAACTTCCAACGCGAAACGTCTACAGTACGGCAGCAAGCCAAAATGATAGATCGCAATAGCGCGATGTGTTTATATCCTACTTCCTACTTTTTGAGTTGCATTATGGCTTGGTATGCCCGTTGGTATGCCCGTTGGTATGCCCGTTGGCGCCTTCTTACTGGCATCAATAAATACAAAGACGGTACACAAGCAAGTCAATAATAAGAAATCAGGAAAAAAACGAGAGGCGCTATTTGTTACATAGCGACAGATGTTATAGACGCTTCGTGCCATCTTGACGCGTGAAATATCAACCTTTCCGCTATCGACACCCCTGATGGTCCTGCTGGCATTCATTAGTCATTATGTAACATCAACTTGTGACTGGAGTGTTTTATTTAACTTCCCTTGTCTGATAAGCAAACTGTACTGGATGTTAAATCTGATATGATACAGTAGCCAGATGTCTAATAAGATCCTTTGTCTTGAAGGGTTTATAAACCCAGAATCGAAACGACATCGGCAGAAGAGGCCAGACGAGGCTGTCTAGAAGTTAACTTGGGACCAGGAAGGTCTCGAGTTAAGACCGGACAACGGCCATGTAAGTTAGTGTGGAGTTGGTTCTCTCTGACACAAGTTAATTAAGGAGTCTTAAGTTTTGTATATGTTAGAAGAAGAGTAAAAGTATCATATGAAGTTAAACCAGTGTTGTCATCCAGAACCTGATTCTCTCACATATTATCGCACTGTATTATTTCTTAATTTCCTATTTTCGAGTCGATTCTGGCTTGTATAGCGCGCTGTCGCCTCACATCTTGTCGTAACTTTCACTTTTCGACTATCGTGTTTTGCAGGGACGAAAAGTAGAAATTATAAATGGCAGTTTATAGGCTTCCATAGATTGCGATATTACTTAAAGAACTACAGCTATAGATATCAATACTTACTACACGATACAGTCATTGCTAACAGTTAATTAAATAGAGAGACTAAACACGATTTAATCGTCATTTGACTGGTTGGTGCAATAAGTTACATTATCTTTACATGATATCATAACTACACAGGTTGCAGTATGTAGGACACCGGTGATAAGCAGTGCACTGTACAGGTGTGGAGTTTTATAATGATACTATGTATTACACTGTCTGTCAGACGGTATATATATATATATATATATATATATATAGCATAGCTTTCAGAGGATTTTAATGTCAGTTTGTATTAATATGCCTGTTAGACGTTATATATCATATCATATCTTACCTCTAATCCTATATACGTCAGGGGGATCACGTGGCTAAGTGGGTAAGACGCTAGCTCGCTAGCCTGGAGGTCGGGTGTTCGATCCCTGCATTGGCCGAGAAAGTTCATCCAGATTTTCCGGCGTGGTTCTCCCTTGCCAGTGATGCAGGACGGAGGGGCTGACAAGGAAAGCTGTCTAGTCGTTCGGATGGGACGAAAAACCGAGGTCCCGTGTACACATTGGCATGCACGTAAAAGATCCCTTGGCAGTTGGAATTCGATATAAGAGGTTTCAAAAGTTCAGTCTTAAGGGAGCAAGAAATAGGGTTTAACCTCCACTCGACACAAACTAGGTCATTTCGTGACTAACACATGGTTAATTTTTATTTCAATAATTCACTCGCCTGTAGGTGTCTTTAGCTGTGGGAGGAAACCGGAGGACCAGGACCGTACTCCTTGTCACATACAACCGGGAAATCTAAACCATGCCAGTAAATGAAATGAAATGAAATGGAGTTTAACGTCCTACTGTTCTGCTCCTAAACTGGACTAATGAAGACGGGCATACGCCATACAGTGTGCTATGGGGGAAATTTTACCCGGGCAGCGGCACTATGGCCTACACTTATATCGAATTCCAACTGCCAAGGTATCTTTTACGTGCATCACTGACAAGGGGAAGCCACGCCGGTAAATCTGGATGAACTTTCTCGGCCAATGCAGTGATCAAACACCCGACCTCCGGGCTAGCGAGCCAGCGTCTATCCAACATCCCCTTTAGTCTTGTCTTAAGAGATTCCTTAAAAGATGAAATGTGCAAAATGATTCTGCTGAAATGATAAAACTGCCATGATAGAAGATCGTGACTTATTGGGTAGCCTCGGTGAGTCATTAACCCAGAGGTACCGAAATTGACCCTGGTGTTAGCCAAGTATCTTATCCTCCAGTCTGGTGCAGGAACTAGAGGTGGGGCATTATCCCAAAAGGGTTGAAACAGAATAATATGTAAATTCATCTTTAATCGATCAACAAAAATTTAAAAAAACTCCCACAAAGCACTTGTTAAACCTGACCACAAAGCACCTGTTAAACCTAGCCAATTGATGGTTGAAGACCAGGCGATAAAGTGGGTGGTGGGAGGATGTTTATTCTATTTGTCGAAAGATAATGGCTAAATACACAAAGGTTAATGATTGGAAAAAAGTGCAGTGTTGATTTAGTTTCAATTTCAAAGATAAATTGCTCTAAAACTATAAACATTGGCTCAAGGCTACCACCACTTAGTTGATTCCTTTTAAAAATTTTAACGATAAACACTTTTGATGCCTCTGTGTATTTTCGTATAATGATATTCGATAATTATATAATTCGAGTAGATAATCACGTTGTTGAAGACAAGAGCAGGAATAAAAACCGATTATAAACACGGCATTATGAAATTCATATTAAATAAATCGATTTACAATATACATTTAGGGCAAATTGACATAACATTGGCCAATGATGTTTAGTGCCATCTTGGATCCTTGAACAAGGAGTTTGAGCTTTAGGGTAAACAGTTCCAACTAACAACCGCAAGACCAACCATCAACGTCCCGCGCCCTGATATGGTTTGATAGGTACCGAAATAAACAATATCTGTGTTAATTTTGGACCCAAAACTGGACCCCGGTCGCTACCCATCTTGGTTATCTTCTTGTTCTTCTCTTTCTTATGGCAGAGCTTTGAAAAAAAGAGAGCCACTGTGGTTCAGTGGGTAGGATGAACATAGGGAGCTATGGTGGATCAGTGAGTAAGACCTTGGCTCATTAGTCTGGAGGTTTCTGGTTCTATCCATGCGTTGGTCAAGAATGTTCATCGGGATTTTGCAACGTGGTTCCACCTGTCAGTGTCAGTGAAGAAAGACATTTGACAACTTATAGTCGTTTGGATGGGACGAACTAACGCGATCCAGTGTACACGGGGTTACAGTTGGAATTCGAAATAAGAGTAGGTCGCAGCGCCGCTGTCTAGGCAAACCTCTTTTGACAATGGCGCGTCGATTGAAGTACGTCGATGTTTGATATTACATAACATTTCCAAGATGGCCACGATGCCATTGTGGTTGGTTCTTTATGCATAAGGAATTTGTTAATCAGCAAATATTATACTTGTAACACTAAGGATGATAAATATACATTGAACTCACAATGATACATAATACTGGTGTTTGTTTTCATGATCTGAATTCAGTTTACAAACTACTGCTACTACCGTAGGTACACTGTCAAAACACGACAAGTGGTATGCTCAGTTCATAACGATATCGTGAATGCTTTATGTGATTACGTACCAAACTTAACTATAATTAGGCAACACCGGCAATAAAGAGAGAGAAATGGGGTTTAACGTCCACTCGACACAAACTAGGTCATTTCGGGACTAAAGCACTGGGGATAATGACGACATTTTATGACTATAGTGCGTGGAAGAACGGCTTATTATGAAAGCGCCAAACATACTATACGCCTTGGCCAGAGGCCTTTTAGATCTTGAGGCCACAGGTTTTAGCCAGGCCAATAGGGAAATCTTGCATCTTGAGGTCCTGGGTTTCAGCCTGCCAGGTCTATCCTAGATCTTAAGGTATTGGACTTCAGTCTTCCAGGTTTACAGGTAATCCCTTGATCTTTTCGTGCTAGGTTTCAGTCTGACAGGTCTGTAGGTAAATATTTGATCTTAAACATGCCAAGTATATAGATGAATCTTTGGTCGTAAGACCCTAGGTTTCAGCATGCCAAGTCTATAGGTAAATCCGGCACTGATATCTCACTAGCTAAATAATTTAATACACGAGTGACAAATATACAATTGTAGGACACTCGGCAAACTTCGACAGATTCCGATACCCTACAAGTAGCCTCGGCTGACACTCGGTAAACCTAGACAGATTCCGGTACCCTACAAGTAGCCTCGGCTGACACTCGGTAAACCTCGACAGATTCCGGTACCCTACAACTAGCCTCGGCTGTATGACGGTGATATCTACCAACACCCATATAATTGCGAAGCGGCGATCCCTTTAGAGAGAATCGTCTTCATTAGCCCAGGTTAGGAGCAGAACAGTAGGACGTTAAACCCCATTTCATTTCATTTCTTTGTAGAGAAGGTACTAAAATTGGCATCGTTCGAAGAGAGTGCATGGTTTTCATTACAAAGTTGTCCTTTATTTAAAGAAAATCGGATAAACTTTTTATGATAAACACTCTTTACAGACGTCTTCATGGGCGCCGCCATTTGTAATCCAGGAACTTGAAAATAGTTCCAGTGGAGGGAATTCGTTATACAGCGGAGGATAGATGCATGGTCCTGTAGTCTGCTGAGGTTTGTCGAATGAATTGTAGGATTAATTGTGGATTAAAGCAGTAATATGTCTATGTATACCAGAATAATTTGTCGTCGTCAATCAATTTTTAATCATAGGCTACTAATTGTTGATTATGTATATTACTTTAGAAATTCCAACAGTTTAAGCTCTGGTATTTAGTGCAATATCCTCCAATTTAAAGCAGTAAATTTAAGTCTATATAAACCAGAATTTTTTTCCGACACAGATCATCTTCTAACCATATTAATATTAACTTAGAAATTTTAACAATTAAACTGCCGTAACAACTTTAAACAGGCCCTTATTGGAGGTTTGTGAGAGAGAGAGACTAACATATTGTTCAGTTAAATGTCAATAATTCGCTTGCGGGGAAACCGGGGAGAGAGAGAGAGGGAGAGAGAGAGTGAGAGAGTGGAATAGGTTTAACGTCCACTCGACACAAACTAGGGTCTTTCGGGAGGAAACCGGATGACCCGTAGAAAACCCATGAGGTTGGACAGGCGACCATACTCCCTTGTCATTTACAACCGGGGAATCGAAACCACGCCACTTGACTTAATGACAGACCGTATGATACAGCGCACACGCGCTAACCATTCGGCCACGTTGTAGTTGGTGGTTGTTTCTGATACATTAATAACAATATTGTTTTTTTTAAGGAACACTAGCACATCAACCCTAAAACAAGAAATATAAAACTCAGAGATACACCCAAACCGTTATTTTGTAATGTATGTCTCAGCAGTGCCCCCCCCCCCTCGTCCAATCCGACCCAATTAAAAATGATTTGTTGATTTTATCTCCAACATCGTAGAGGCCCAATTGTAACGTATGCTTCTTCGGTTATACCTCCTGAAACGATAGAAATAAATAGGTAGGGTTAGATTTGTCATCCCGTTTCAGAAAGTGTACGTAGAGTGATATACATATTCATTTGGGGGTTTAGACTATGGGATTGTGTCACGGACATCCGTAGGGTTTGTCCTTGTTCACATGGATAGATTGTATGCTGACTGTTCGACGTATACAATCGTAACAACGATAGTGACAATGTTCGATTATCGCTGATTTGGTTGGTTTCAGCTTGAGATTGACCTTAACTTGTCCGGGTTAGGGTAAGGAATGGTGCTTTAAAAAAAACCCCAAAAAACAACGTGTGCCTGGTTGTACGGAAGGTTTACCGTTGTATATATTGGTGTACGAAGAAGGCGTGCTTACACGTTTTATACCACCTGATATCATTTCACATAGCTAACAATCTTATAGACCATCTGATATCACTTACTATAGCTAACAATCTTATAGACCATCTGATAACACTTCACATTTGAGAAGTTCAAATAGCTAACAAGCTTACATATAGACCACCTGGGCCACCAGATACCACTAATTCCTATTTGGCGAGTTCACATAGTATTTTTGTTTATACTTTAAATAACTATTTACTGCACAGTTTAGTAAAAAAAAACAATATTATCTGTGGCGGACCCCTAAGGGGGGCCTCGACCAAGACCCCTTAGTAACAACATACGGAATTCACTTATTGTTCTCTTTCTTTGTAAATTTGAACTTTTGTTGGCTTGGTTGATTTAGATGATGAAATTGAAAGTTATCTTCAGGTACAGATATGTACCACAAATGACTATTGATTCCCCCGAACCCCTAACCAAATATCCATTGATCCCCCCGAACCCCTAACCAAATATCCCACTAATAAACATTGTGTTAATTGTCATGCATTTCTTTCTTCTCATAGATGAAACAATAATTTACAGCTGTTTAATCGTATACCAATATCGATCTATTCACCTTTTTGATCTTACATAAATATCGATCTATCGACCTTTTATCGTATACCTGTGCTCATTACGTAAATATACACTGATTACCCTTCAACTGAACTGACGATAAAAGAAACACGTGTATTAAGATTGATCGCTACCCCAGGACAAAAAGATAATACCCTTCATTAATTCTTTGTTGTATATTGTATTTTTAGAAAACGATATTTTTTGAAAAAACAAAACAATTCAAAGTATCAATTTATTGCTATTGAACGCCATTTTTAAATCTTCCTCAAAAGTACATATAGATTCGGTTGTTTGGTCTCTAAGAATATTGCCGGTTTGAGTCGGGCACGAGGTATTTAGTCGTATGGTCTAAAAATCAACGCAAGTCTCACTGAACAGAGGCTTCAATTAGCCAAGGAGTTTCACGTAAAACGTAACTTCAATTCATAACTAGCATAACTCATATTCACGTATCGTCATAAACTCCTATTTAGTATCGTCATCTCATAAGCGGGATCCATGTAAAATTATTTTAATATAACTCCTATTCATGCAGGCTATTGCTATTTTAACATAACTCATATTGTCACAAAGCCGGATCCATGCAACTGAAACATAACGCCTATTTACGTAACGTCATTGTAACACAACACCTATTCACGTAACGTCATTTTAACATAACGCCTATTTACGTAACGTCATTTTAAAATAACACTTAATATTCACGTAACGTCATTTTAACACAAGACCTATTCACGTAACGTCATTTTAACATAATACCTATTCATGTAATGTCATTTTAACATAACATCTATTCACTTAATATCATTTTAACATAACACCTATTCTTGCTAGCCAAATCAATGTAAGGTTATTTTAGCATAACTTCTATCCATATAACGCCAGTCCACGCTAAACGTAAGTAAAGCGGTCCAGATTGAGACAATTTAAGTAAATTCGTGTCAAAGCTAACCACGTTAACTTAGTTTATTAAAGTCAATACAAGTATTGGAAATCTTTAAACAAATTTAATGCATGTAATTGGCCGTCTTGTAAAGAAAGGCAACATGAAGCCAGGTCTTGTAAAAATAATCCACATAAAGCCAATTCATATAAACCTAAATAATTTCATATACAAATTTGACAGGGTAAATTAAAATATTGAAAAAAATATATTATTACCTGTATCTCCGGCTACAAAAGCTTTCATCGGCAAGTCATCTCGGCTGGTTATAACTCCAGCGTCTTCCCGCCAATTTGCATCATTAATGTCACAATTGCATTTGAAACTTGTGTCAGTGCATGAATTCGTCAAGTGACAGGCACACGCGTTTGGGATTGTTCCATCGCCAGCAAGATAAGTAACGATTGCATCATTACGTGTTACCCAACCGGTGTAACCGTCGATTTCAGCATGATGACATTCGTATTTAACAAACTGTTCACAATAATCGGAGTTCTGGATTAGAGCTAGAATATGGTCTAAAGATGGACTGTAATTAAGATCTAATCTGTAGGAATAAGCGGGATCATAGCCATCCACGAATGTTCTGTTCATACCATCATGATCTGAAACGTCAAAGATAAGATTAGGATACACGCCTTTTATAACATAATAAAGATCAAAACTTGTGTAGAATCCGCGTCCAACAGAAATATGAAAACAACGGATCGATACGGAAGTGTTCTTCACTAGATAAATATTATAGTCGATAAACAAAAGAGACACTAACACTGTTTTCATAGTGTCTATTTTTATCTACTATAATAAAGATCTTTAGGAATGGGCGTTCTAGGGTCATCCAAGAATGTTCCAGCGACATTATGATTTGATTTGTTGGGGGTCAGTATTCGACCCCTGCGTTGCCAGAGAAAATTCATCGGGAACTCCCGGAGTGTAGGACGGTGGGCAATACAAGGGAGAGTGTATTGTCTTGCGATCTCCCGTGTACACACCGGCGTGCACTTAAAACAACGCTTAACAGTTAAACTACGAGTAGGACGTAGAGCCGCTGTACGGGCAAAATGTCTCTCAAAACACACTGTATATCGTATGCCCGCCTTCATTAGCCCAATATTGATGCAGGACAGTGGGACGTCAAACCCCGTTTTATTTTATTTTATTTTATTTAAATCAGTAGTGAGGTAAGCTCTACACAAGTTTAGTTTGGAATGATAACGCGGGGTGGTGTTGTTTACTGAATTTTACTGAGTGGACGGAACAATACACAATCAAGATTATCTCAAAATCGACGTCATCTATTGCTCTTAAAGTTTGAAAGAAGCCATGAATACTTCCATCCCACGAAACAAATTCCAATGTAATCGAATTATTTTATTTTTGACCTAGGGCAGAGACCATTTTAGATTGTAACAATCTACCTGGGATCGATGGTACAATATATTGTACTACTCGGAGCCGTATATAATATTGAGAGAGTAATGAAATGAAATGAAATGGCGTTTAACGTCCTACTGTACTGACCCTACAGGGCTAATAAAGACAGGCATATGAAGAGGGTTTTGCCCGGACAGCGGCGCTATGGCCTACTCTTATTTCGAATACTGTCAAGGGTTGTTTTACGTCCCATCCGAATGACTATACGTTGTCCCTTGCCAGGCCTCCATCTTACACCACTGACAAGGGGGAACAACGCCGGAAATAACGGTTTTAGATGTACCTGACACAATGGCCGAATGGTGAACGCGTGGGCGTTGTATCATAAGGTCTGCCAATGAGTTAATTGGCGTGGTTTCGATTTCCCGGTTGTACGTGACAAAGAGTAGGTTTTCACCGGGTCCTCCGGATTGCTCCCACTGCTAAAGACCCCTACGTGCGGGGGGTTTTCCTTGTCAGTGATGCAAAGCGGATCATGACAAGAACAGCTGTCTAGTTGTTCGGATGGGACGAAAAAACCGAGGTCCCATGTATACATTGCCGTGCACGTAAAAGATCCCTTGGCAGTTTGGAATTCGATTAAGAGTAGGCTATGGTGCCGCTGCCCGAGCAAACTTTCCCTTAAAGCACACTGTATGACGTATGCCCGTCTTCATTAGCCCAGCTGGAGCAGTAGGACGTTAAATCCCATTTCACTTTTATTTATATGGCCCCGGACCTACCTATTACAGTTACTGCATCGTCACAATTTACTTCAATTTTTGATAATAAACCTGAGCCATCGACATCGACGTAAACTATTTTCGTGGCCGTTAGTAGATTATTAGCAAAAGCATCGGCACAATCTTTGATTGAAACTGGAACAAAAAAGAAAACATTTACATTATAAAATTAGATATTCTACGAGGGGAAATACTACTCTCACAACACCACGACAGTCTGTGCTTTTTATATTGTCGAGGCGGCTGTGAAGTACTTGCAATGGCATGTACCGAAGCCTGATTTTCCTAGCATCTTTGCCAGACCCTTTATCCTCACAGTACAACAAAAACACCTTCAACCGTTTTTACTTCCAAGGGACACAATTCCACTAAATGTAGTTGAACCATGACGAATCGAAACTCACAATTTGATCTGTGTGTACCAATACCATTTCTACGGTACTTGTTTCAGATTAAAGTCGGTGATCATCAATTGAGGGGTTGTCAATCCCTTTGAAACTATTGTTGCAACAGTTAAATTCCTAATATGAGTATCAGCCCAATATGGTCTCATCCCAGTTGGTATATACCAAGGTATCACTGTAAAATTAATATCATTTACTTATGCTAGGTTTATACTGTCGCACGATGCATTACCATCAGATCGCTCTAATGAGTTCATTATCTCGTACGTGCAGATACGTTCGGGTACGTTTCGATACGATTGCTACGACAGACCTCAATATATGATAAGACATGATAGGATCATCACGATTACTCTACGATTTAAACCACGATTTCAATCTTAGCGCTCGCTTATCGTGGTCGTGAGAACCTAGCAAACAGCTAACTTCTGTAAATGAAAATGTTTCTCTTAGTTAAAATTGGAATTATTATAGACTGTAGTCATAAAGTAGGCGTTGTGTCACTAAGGTGTTAAAATCGTTACAACTAAATAATACACACCACACTATTGGCCATGTTTGTGTATTCAATAGTGATGGGTGTTATAAATAGTCACACATTTACACCAAGAGTGAAATCTTCTACAGCTAATTACACACCTGCTAATTAATGAATACTCTCTTTATATAGAGAGAGAGAAGTGGGGTTTAACGTCCACTCGACACAAACTAGGTCATTTCGGGACTAACATATGTTTTTAATTTTATTTCAATAATTCGCTTGCGCGTAGGGGTCTTTAGCAGTGGGAGGAAACCTGAGGACCCGGAGAAAACCCACGAGGTTGGACTGGCTACCCTACTCCTTGTCACGTAAAACCGGGGATTCGAAACCACGCCAGTCGACTCTATGACAGACTTTATGATACAGCGCGCGCACGCTAACCATTCAGCCATCCAACCCCCCACTCTCTTTATATATAAAACATTAGTTGATCAGAATGATCACATGTGTTATTTAATAACAGGTTCATAGCCACTTTAAAATGTTGAAGCGTTACACTGACGGGAGCCACAGTGGCTAAGTGGGTGGGACGCTAGCTCGCTAGTCTGGAGGTCGCGTGTTCAATCCCTGCATTGGCTGAGAAAGTTCACCTGATTTTCCGACGTGGTTTTCCCTTCAGCTGTCTAGTCGCGTTCGGATGGGACGATAAAACGAGGTCCTGTGTATACTTAGCGTGCTCTTAAAAGATCCCTTGGCCGTTGGAATTCGATATAAGAGTAGGCCATAGTGCAGCTGCATGGGCAAAATTTCCCTCATTAGCCCAGTCAGAGCAGAATAGTAGGACGTTAAACCCCATTTCATTTCATTTTCTTTTCGTTTCAGTCTGACATTTCGAATGATATTTCTTAAACTAGAATAATAAAAGTGCTCTCTTAACCATGTGATTAAAAACAGATGTGACGTACGAGATAAAAACAAATCCAATTACTTATTAAGTGGTTTTGTAGACATAAGTTTTATTCATAGCCTTCATATGCCTCCTTTGTATCTTTTGACAATGATAGAAGGTGCCAGCGAATCAAAATGGTCAACAATCATCTTTATTATACGCGGCTTTTGTTCCCGAAGTTCTTTTTTTTATCACGTGAATCATAATTATGGAAATAATTGCCACCATATTGTATGTTTATCATGGGTAATTATTGCTAATCGTTTCTTATAACCTATAAGTGGATATCCATTCAGAACGATTGACGCATCGAAACAAACAAAATATAACCAAGGAAAAAACCAATAATCTATCAAGTTTGCCAATTATAGAGCATTAAGTGTTTTCATTTGATCCATGAGAGTAATGGAGGGAGGGGGAGAAGGGAGATATGTGGTTTTACGCCCACTTGACACAAACTAGGTCATTTCGGGACTAATACACGGTTCAACTTTATTTCAATATTTCGCTTGCGCGTAGGGATCTTTAGCAGTGATAGGAAAACGGAGGACCCGGAGAAAACCCAAGCGGTTGGACAGGCCACCCTACTCCTTGTCACGTACAACCGTGTTCCAAAGGAGGAAATAGGTCTATCCTACGTTACATTAAAAAAAACCAACAAATGCAGGTTAATGCAGCATATGGGGTTAACATCCTACGTTTCTATAACAACCAAGATAAGGAAGACGGTAGACGCCGTGCAGTCTGCTAGGAGGAACAATTCGTCCGGATAGCGGTGCTTCGGCCTATAACATTGAATTTAAACTTTCAATGCGTACACAGAATATGGATTTTAAGTACCACCGGAACGACTAAAAACTTTGTTGCCCAACGCCTGGCGCTTACCCTAGACTTATTGGTTAGCCATTCAGCGTCTTACCCACTCAGCCGCCTGATTTAACGAGACTGCTATAATGAATACAAATCTCTAGAGATAGTCTGACGAGGAGATTGTCCTTTATACTACTCAATTGATCTCAAACTTATATAGGCCTATTAATTACATGTACTTATCTCATCCGTGTGCTATTAAATAATTCATCCATGAATACTGCGTGGAACAAAGGCATAACGAACAGCAATATAAGAAACAAAATATTCTTCAGAATCAATAGGGATGTGGGCATACACCATGAACAATACTATGAGTTTAATTTGACTCTGATAACGAAGCTACGGTCTACTGCTATTTTAATGTTTATCTGCTTGGAAATCGTTAACATACTACAACTGGAATACATTGGACCCCAGCTTTTCGTTCTATATTTACGATAACACACTTTTCAGTGTCCGACCCGACATGCTGCCTCGCCCATAATGGAAACCAGTTAACAGAATCCCGAGGAACGTACTCGACCAACGCTGGGATCGATCCCTTATTGTTTGTGATTTTAAGAAACAGACATACTTAAATTAAACACACATCAAAATATAAGTTATGAAAACATCAGTTTACATAAACCACTGTTATCTTCTATAATCTTCATCGTTATGTCAATACAATATTCAATATTATTCAATAATCGTCATATATTTTTCACACAAGACATCGTGACCCCCTCCCCCCCCCCCTCAAAAGAACCATCCACCAGTCGAGCTCGTAATTGTCATATATTCTACGCACCAGACATCGTGACCCCCCCCCCCCCCCGAAAAAAAACATCCACCAGTCGAGCGTGTAATTGGTAGTTGAAATATAGCTAGCCGAACGTGGACACGTAAGCAATCGCCTTTTTTGTTCTATAAATTGAAAACAAGTATGGCGACAGTTTTTAATCTAATTATTTCTGTAGTTTTATAATCGGAGTTTAGCTTTAACTTACATGATTGGATTGATAATTATTAATAATCTCCATTTAATTAAGATTGCTCAGTTGTATGGTGTAAAGACAAACTAATGATCTTCTCTACTATTAAGAATGCTTTTAGGTCCAATCACTTTTTGTATTAAAAATAAACATTGATCATGATTCTTCCAATATGTAAACCATTTACCTTAGATTTTTTTTTATTATTATAAATTATATTGTCTTGAAAAAATATGAATGATCTATATTAGAAATAATACACTGGCCCAATATATAATACAAGAAAAAAGATATTAATATTCTAAATATTATCACGCGCGAATTTGTTTTCGTGGAGCAGATTAGACAAGCGTGGGGTGAAAGACAGAGACAGAGAGAGAGAGAGAGAGAGAGAGAGAGAGGGGAGAGGAAGAGAGATAGAGAGTTTAACGTCCACTCGACACAAACTAGGTTATTTCGGGACTAACATATGGTTCAATTTTATTTCAATAATTGGCTTGCGCGTTGGGAACTTTAGCAGTGGGAGGAAACCAGAGGTCCCGGTCGGAGTAAACCAACGAGGTTGGACAGGCGACCTTACTCCTTGTCTCGTACAAGCGGGAAATCAAACCCACACACTGACTCAATGACAGAGCTTATAATGCAACGTGCATGCGTTATTCATTCGGACATCCAGTACACGGTTAGGGTGAGTTTTACGTGAAACGATCCAGCAATTGAACGAAAAGACATACTGAATCATTTAGAAGTACTAATGTCATCAATATATCCCCTGACCTCTAACTTTGAAAGATTCGAGTTGCGTTTTTCATACCAAAAGGCATTCCCTTTTCTTGAAAAGGACTATTTGAGTGTGCCAAAACTTGGCTACATTTCTATCACTTTAAGTTAATGTAAACTGGCAATACCCCACCTGAATCATTAATCGCGTGATAACAGCATTAGCAACATATCGGGCTTTGGTTATAACCACGGTGATCTCCAATCACTAAATGTAACTTTATGTCTCAGGTAATTTAATTTAAGATGATTAGGTCTGATTGTATCGATTAGGCAAATCAACCAATGTGAAACATCCGCAGAAAAACATGTCGAATCACACATAATTGTTTAAATGTTTTTTGTTTCAGGAAGTGGTCCCACGCAACCGATAATTACCCTAAACAGATTCGTGAAATGCTGGAGTGGAATAAATATGCATGATAGGAATTTTCTATATCCTGTCTGGCATGACATGACATCATGAACTAAACTGATGTTCGTCCACTTTAGATTTAACAGTGCTATCACTATTTTGACTTAGCCGTATTATAAATTTGTTAAATGGCCCGTCTTCATTAGCCCAGTCGGGTCAGTATAGTAGGACATTAAACTCTATCCATTTTATTTCATTTCGTGTTATATATGGGTGGCGTCAAGGTGGCTAAGTAAGTAAGACACTGGCTCGCTAGTCTGGAGGTCAGGTTTTCAATCTCGGCATTGGCCGAGAAAGTTCATCCAGATATTTCGGTGTGGTTCCCCCTTGTCAGTGGTCAAGGTGGCTAAGTAGGTAAGACACTGGCTCGCTAGCCTTGAGGTCGGGTGTTCGATCCCGGCATTGGCCGAGAAAGTTCATCCAGATATTTCGGTATGGTCCCCCTTTGTCAGTGGTGCAGCACGGACGGCATGAAAAGGGCAGCTGTCTAGTCTTTCGAATGGGACGAAAAACAGAGGTCCCGTGTACACATTGGCGAGCTCGTAAAAGTTCCCTTGACAGTTGGAATTCGATATAAGAGTAGGCCGCAGTGCCGCTGTCTGGGCAAAATTGCATTCATAGCACATTGTATGCATATGCTCATCTTCATTAGCCCAGTTCGGAGCAGAACAGTAGGACGTTAAACCCCATTTATCTGGCCCCGATTCACAAAGCATTCTCAGACTTAAGTAAAGAATTTGCTCAAAATTCTTTGCCTTATTTTAACTAAAATATAGCCGTTTATAAAATTTGTGTTGTCTTAATGTATCAAATACACCAATAAGAAACTGTGGGCAAAATTTTGTGTTTCTGGATCAAAGATATTTGTCATAAACAGTGATTGAAAGTTGTGTAAATTCGTAACTTAAGTCTGAGAATGCTTTGTGAACCCGGGGCCTGGCCTTTGGCTACTTTTAGTGGAAATTAAATCATAGTCACTTAATGTGTTGACTTTGTGTTCGTTTAAACTGTTGTTCTAATATCAACGCGATGGTTATCAATGTCACCATTAACTGCTTTAGAATCCATCCATCCAATAAATATTATTTTTCTCTGAAAAATTCTAAGGGTGTGTTTGTTTGATCATTAACTTTGTTTGAGTTTCAAAATTTCTGTTTAGACGCCCCTGGCAACATGAGCATCAGCATTAAGAATTGCATGGGTTATATCATAATTAGATCCCAAAGGGACTTCGGTGAAAATATTTTATGAGTTTTACTTATTAATACACATTGTAATATTTATCAAATCAATTTCCTTAGAATTACGATTAACTTCTATTTTTTGTTGCAATTCTGATTGTTTAAACTGATGTTGAAATTCTAATTCCATTAATTTCCTCATCAATTAAATCTAATGTATCTTTGGTAAATATATTTTCATAAACTATGGTTTCAAGTACTGAATATTTTTTATACATTGGTTTAATTGAACTTTGAAATTAACAGGTGATGATGCACGCGTTAACCATTCGGCCAACCACACCATTTCTAAAGCAACTAAATTAATTAGAAGTGTGCATTTTTTGCCAGATATTTAATTTTATTCTATAAGTACATGCCAATACAATCAAAAATCATTGAATACAGCCATTGAATAACCTGTGGTTGTATTCAATGGCTTGAAAACGTACCTATTTTGTCCAGAAAGACGTCACTTTCAGAATTACGCCAAACTGTAATGGCGTCACCACTAGGCAACCACAATTTTTATAAAAAAGAAAAAAAAGGCGTAACCTGTGATGAATTTTTAAGTTTGTTGGTGATTATTTTTTGGGGGGTGATAATCTGGATAGGACAGTGTATTTTGAGATTTGCATGTAGTTATAGGATAAAAACAGAACTCAATGACCATTGAATACCGGGGGTGGATGGCTGAATGGTTAGCGTGCGCGCGCTGTATCATAAAGTCTGTCATTGAGTCGACTGGCGTGGTTTCGAATCCCCGGTCGTACGTGACAAGGAATAGGGTCGCCTGTCCAACCTCGTGGGTTTTCTCCGGGTCCTCCGGTTTCCTCCCACTGCTAAAGACCCCTATGCGCAAGCGAATTATTGAAATAAAATTAAACCATATGTTAGTCACGAAATGACCTAGTTTGTGTCGAGTGGACGTTAAACCCCATTTCTCTCTCTCTCCCCATTGAATACCGATGAGATGAGATGGGTATGAATGTTGTTGGGAAAAAATTACGTCACAAATATTTGACGTCAAATATTTCGCAAATCTGTTATCGCTCATTGCTACAGCCTCCGTATTTCGTTACATTGTTCTTACCTTCCTGACAAACAAAATACGACCAGGTTCCATTTGGAAAACAATTTGCAGGTGCTGAAGATCCATACAAACATGGTGACTGGATAACATCTCCTATTAACCACAAATTCTTGCTTAAAAAGACGGTCCGATTAACGGCTGTTACGTTTGGTACGCCAACACAGCCAAGCACAACACATTCTACGTCATTAAAATCGTTGACGTCACATCGACTGTTATCTGGACACTCGTGATTAAAACATGCCCCCGCCAAATTCAACTTTGGCCAATTTTCGGACGCGCTGAAAACAGAATTGTTATCCGTGATATACGAACTGTTGTCATTATCCATTAAATGACAGACAAAAGACTGGGTATTAAAATTGACCGATTTGCATAGACTGAACTGAAGGCATTTGGTCATACACTGAACTAATCCTAGGTCTTGAAATTGCCAAATTGGCGATCCAGCAATTTTAACATTTTGTTTAACATCATTTTGAAATATAGCCACATTGGCGCACATCTGACTCCGCACACTCGCGAACTGTAGAACGACGTATATGCAAAACGCACCATACATGTTTCAAGTTCCAAGTTCCATAAGATAATAAGCGAGAAGTTGAACGTGATTTGACGTATTATTAATTCATGGCCGCTGGGATACATAACCAATACTGGTCTCTAATGGATAAAACAGTTCAACATCGATGTTCTTAAGGTTGGTTTACGTCATTATTGGACTGATCCATCTCATGTTTTAAAGATACCGCTCCTAACTTCACAAAAGCTTTACTGATTCGGTTTACATTAGGGACTGGTCCATATCATGTTTTAAAGGTACCGCTCCTATTGATTCAGAGAGAGGGAGAGAGAGAGGGAGAGAGAGAGGGGGAGAGAGGGAGAGATTAACGTCCCATCGGCACAAACTAGGTCATTTCGGGACTGACATATGTTTTGATTTTTTTATTTCAATAATTCGCTTGCGTGTAGGGGTCTTTATCAGTGGGAGAAAACCGGATATCGCGAAGAAAACCTACGAGATTGGACAGGCGATCCCACACTTTTTCACGCGCTAACCATTCGGCCATTCAACCACCTTCAATGATTAAATGAAAAGACCTGAAACGGGGTTTCGCGTCCTCCTGTTCCGCATTAAATGGACTAATGAAGATGATCATACGCCCTGCAGTGTGATATGATGGAAATTTTGCTAAGACAGGGGCGCTACGGCCTACTCTTTTTTCTAATCCTTACAGTCCAGGGTCCTTTTACGTGGGCGCCAATGTTTACACGTGGCCTCCCATTCTCTTAGACAGAGTTGTCTTCCCTTGAAGTTCACTTGTTTATCTTTATCATGACGTAGACTAATCCTTGTTATTCAGCATTGACAATGAAATACATACTTACCCGGGTTTGTTCACTGACATATGTCTGGAACCATCGGTCTGGTTTTGTTGATTCGTTACGGGTCTTAAACTCTGGTATATCTTTAATAATTCAACAACTAATGTGATACACATTTCTGGTTGATCAGCCACCATGACGCTATTTCAAGAGAAAAATTTGTTTAAACGTTAATAGTAAGGATTCTGGTTGATCAGCGAGCGTGACATCCTTTCAATGAAAAGATTGACTTTGTAACTTCATTAAATAGAATCCACATTGGATATCTATTATATATGGGTAATAAATATCCTCTACAATTACCCACAAATAATGTCTGTATTGTCTTAAGGGAGCTAACCCTAGTTCAAGGATGTGAAAATACAGTAAAATAAATTCTTCACTGACTGGGCTAATAAAAACGGTCATACGCCATGCAAAGTTCGATCAATGACACTTTTTGGGGACTACTTTTATTTCGAATTTCAACTGTTAATGATGCACGTCAACATGTACACCAGGTTTCGATTTTTCTTCCCATTCAAAAAGTTATTCCATGCCAGGCCGTACACTCTACGCCACCGCCAAGAGGAAACCACATCGGAAAATACGAATTGTGTACACGTATTGTGCAAAGCGTGCTGCGTAAACAGTGGTCCTTTTTTTACCTGAAATTTCTTCTCTTTGTGTGTGGGATTGCGTGCGTGTGTGTGTGTGTGTGTGTGTGTGTGTTCTCCAGGTTCGCCGATTTCTTTCAACTGCTACAGACCCCTACGCACAAGCGAATTATGGAAATAAGATTGGACATAGTTGAGAGTCGAGTTAACGTTAGACCCCATTTAATGCGCGAAATCAAAACAAAGGTAGAAGGACAGAAAGTATTAATAGGATTATATTCTAGGTTTTAGGTTTTAATATACGCACAATTTTCTGTGGACGTATATTTGTACTTGAAAAAGATAAGGGCATACTTGTCGAATCGTCTTGCTATATGTCTATAAGCCAGTGATTGTTTTCCATAGAAATTGTGTTTCTTTTTTCACGAATTGTATCCGATTCTGATGAAACCTAGCTGGAATATAGGTTTATATCACACAGATCTCGCTTCCTCGCTTTTATCGGACCGTAACATCAAGAATCATGGCCCCCGATTGTACGAAAAATCACAATTTGCTATCCGATTTTAATGGAAGTTAACATGAATGTGTATAACCCACAGATCAGAGTTCCTTTCGATATTCGCGAACATCAGACCCAAATTGACCGGAATGATTGTACTGAGTTCGAATATCGTGAAAATCGGACATAAATTTCCTCCCGTCAAAATGCCTGTCCCCTTTTCGAAGATGGAGTAAACATATGTAATACTAAAATAGTGGACCCTCGAAAAGTCACAATTGTTCTCCGGGTTTGATGAAACTTAAAATATATTTCCACGGGTCTCGGTGATATAGACGCATGTCTGTCGGACCGTAACGTCCTGGAATACGACACCTTTTTGAACGAAAGTCGCCTTTGTAGCTTGTTCTCTGTTCATCTTTTGCAAAATGTGGACGTATCTTCCATGGCAACCGTTTGCTTTGTTTTGTTGAACTATAAACCTAAAGACGTAGGGAAAAGACTGTCCATCTAACGTTTTGACTTTTTCATACACATGGGATCTGGCGAATCTGTTAACATCAGCATTTAAAGGAGCAAAACCCTGAACTCAGTTTTATCCACAATATTCGAAATCAAAAACACAAACTAGATTTAATATTGATGTTGTTGCCATTACCATAAACATAACGCTTCACAACGATGCCAAATATTTCGCATGCGGATTACCTGATCGCTCCACAGCAAGCGAAGAAAAGTAATCGATTCACTGAGAATTTAAAAAAAAAGATCTATGAATATGGTACTCATAAACGTCAAAATAAAGGTGTTTCTAAATGTTATTGATATTCTTATCTTTTGGGATGATAGACTAATTTTTGTGAAAATCTCAATTTCGACCAAAATCAATATTTTCACTTGTTTTGTCTATTGCTCGATATTAGACTTTGCGCTTTCCGATTTATTTAGCTAACACGGTCACACATGTGGTCCTAATATCCAATTTGTAAGAAACAATGGACATTTTAAAATGAACACACATATAAAACACTATTTATGGATAACAATTACGTTTCAACAAGATTGCTCAAGTCAGTATCAAGTATAATATTACAGCAGTTATAAACAAAGTGAAAAAATGGTGCATAGCCCATTAACTATAAAATGATATCGTATAAAAATAATCACCAAACCCATTATCTGTATAAATATAGAATGTTACATTAAACACCTTCATATTGTCTTACAATTTATTTAGTAATCTATGCCTATAACCAGAGAGCAATTATCACTTTCAATAAGACAGTACATGGATTCTCTTCTGATCCTTCGTTGTCATCTAACTTCTAAAATTCCGTAAGCGCCAGCGAAGTATTGAACTTGTGTTAGACTCAAACTGACAATTTGTGTCGAGATGACATAAAACCTCATTTTCCATCAAGACAACGAAATTCATTAAAGGGAGTATAGCTCTACTATTTAAAACATTAAAATTGTGGAAAATGGGTCTAAAAGCATATTTGAATGTAATTTTTAATCAGTTATCTTCGGTGAAATACGCGAGCAGTCCAAATTGAACGACTGCAATGGCATTCGTTTACGTCTGTCAATCCGATCTATATGATTTTATAAAAATTATTTTGTCGTTTGTACATCCGTCATTTTTAATTACTTCCTGGGATATGTGTTTCTTTGTTCCCATTATGTTCAAGGAGTACACGACGTCGTGTATTGATTTTGAACAGTTTAAATATTTGAAATTGCGGTCTCAGATTTTCATGGTAAGATAACAACATCAATATTGATTGAAATGGACCAATACTTAATTCTAATTAGTATTTTTATTATTGTGGGTAATATTGAGTTAGAGGATTCGCTCCTTTAATGTTACATAAGCCCGAGATATTTCTAAATATCGACAGTTCACTGACTGTTCAAAATATTTATTCTTATATTGAAAATCCATTAATAATTTAACACCGCCTTATTTATATAGTTATCTATACAGATATGTTTTTTATCAGTTGCGTAACGACTTCGTCAACCAACCGCACGACTTGGTTCACGCGGTAAACGCCATTTTTTGTGGAAAAGGGCTGCCATTTTTTTTACAAGATTAAGTGATACCGTGTCGCTTTTAAAATCATGTTTACAAACCTATTTAGTTTTAACAGTTTTTAATGACTTTATGCTTTAGTTTTAACTCAGCTATTGTTTTATGTAATTTATAGATGTGTATATTTTATTTTAGTTTAAACAGTATTGTATTCATTAGAAAACGATCTAACGAGAGGCAAATTCCTATATAAGTGCCTTTATAAGATATCTTTGTATAGTAAAGCAATATCTCAAGCGCCTGGGAAATAAAAAATAATAATAATAGCGATCATACCAGTTCTTGTTTACTTGGTAATTAAAGATATAGAATTTTAAAGATGTAAAAAAAAACATATTTTTATGAATGACGTGAATACCTGTTTGACATGACAAGAAATGAACATTAAAAATAAATAGGTAAGGAACTTTTAAATTTTCTATAGTTGAAGACTCAAAAAGGATCTATTAATATTTAATGAACGACGCACACGCCTCTTTCACGTCACTAATTGCAGTTGTTTTACTTAGCAGGAAAGTAAAGGCTGAACATAATTAGATGCCTCAAGGTTTGTCATTACCTGAACAAAGACCCAGTAAAGCGTAGTGTATACACACCCCGTAACAATAGAGTCTAACAATAACTAATGTATTAATTATAATTAATGAAAAAATGAAGACATTATTACGGAAGACCAAATGGGCCATAATTTGATAATATACGAAGATTGGTTATTGCCAAAACACAGGCCTAGTAAGGCGTAATGTGTACATGCCCCACAACAATAGAGGGTAACAATAAACACTGTATTATAATCAACAAAACACGGTCATATTGTTACGGAAGTCCAAATGGGACATGATTAGATCATACATTAAGGTTTTTTATTGCCAGAACAAAGGACCAGTAAAGGCGTAGGGTGTAAATGTCCACAATTATAGAGGATAGCAATAAATAGGATATCACACTCGTGAAATGACGAAACTATTACGGAAGGTTAAATGGGACATAAT